ACAAATATTTAATTTGTACTATTCAGAAATGTTAAACTAGAGGGCAATTAGGATCAATGAGTATTCAACTTTCTAAAGTCTTTCTGTAGTAAATTTCAACCAACTCCATGTAAAAACCAATGATGCAACAAAAACAATGGCAACATTCAAATACCATAACCAGAAACACTTTAGTACAAGTGCACAGAAGTATATCAATGAACCATAACACAAAGAGAAGACGCTATGTAAAATAGAGTGGGCAATGAGGAAGGGTGTTTCCTTTACTTCACATGTCAAAAGACACATCATACCATAAGCCATATACATTTGCAAAAGCCACGACTTCAAGAAGGAAAGATGAACAAGGAATGCATATTGACGTATGCAAACTTTGGATAGAGGAGACTTGTCCACAGTAAAGCATCATATTTACAATGGTTCCCAGATCAGAAAAGCTTAAGCAGACTAAGAAATAACAGGACCCAGCACAAGGAAATAAAGATGTTCAAACAACTTGAGTCAACAGTAAGATTATGCAACCACTCAAACGCGTACGATTCCAAAACCATAGTGATTATAAAATAATCCCTGAATGAATAACAATTAATTGCAAACCTTTAGCTTGTCAGAACGGGCAGCGATTCTTTGTTCTGTTTTCTGCTGGTTTAGTGCCAGGCTTTGCTCGGAAATAACTTTTCTCTTTTGACGCTCCAAAATCCATTTTTCCAGTGTTGCATGCCTTGAAGAAGGTGGCCTATCGGTAGATATTGAAATATCATCCTCTTCTCGATCTGTCCGTAAAGCTGCGACAATTTCCAAAATTTAGTTTGTCAGAGTGAATAATTGTTTCATAATCTAAATACCTGTTCCACAAACAACGGATCTTTTTGCATCACAAAAATAACATATGCATGAATATAAGCATGCATGCACACAGACAAACAACCCACATATGTAGTAGTACATCATCATTTATTTGATTATACCAAATAAATGATATACTCACAATGTGAAACATTTTTCATCATTGCAGGGTAACTTTGGCCACTCATTCCCAAGACAGGCTTCCACTGGTCCTTTGATGGAAAACTAGGCAACTTCCCATCACGGAGTCTATTTCCAAGATCACTGCAGCCAGTAGGACCTTGAGAGAGACTGACAGCATCATCGTTTTTTTGTGGCACCAATTCATGCATTACAACAGTGGCAGGCAATGACGCCTTGGAAGCATCAGTTTCGTATCCAGTTCCAGTCCCACTACTCTCCTCAAGCTTCAATTGCTCAGCTGGGGGTATAACAACAGAAGCTACGATGGTAGATCCAGTCTGTCGTTGGCTGTGCTTCGAATCAAACCCGTGATTATTGATAGAAATATTCCTCATGTCCAATTCATAATGTTCTCCAGGTGCAAGTGTCTGTACTACTGTTTCCGAGTTAGGCATTTCAGCATCCAATTCCCTTCCTGTCACTATAAGATTCCTCCTATCTTGTTCATTTTCAAACAGAATAGAGGGTTGACCACCTTTGTCCTCCATTATCTTTGCAAACTCAGCTCCTTTGGATGAACCGAAGTCCACAAAAGATGAATGACCTTTGCTGTTAACTAGTCTTTCAGACTGCCTAGAGGCTTCAGGAATGTTGCTCGGGTCCTTGAGCTGCTCCTCTTTCTGATCAATAAGATCTCTTCGTGGTCCATCTGTAAATTACCCTGTTATTTGCCAATTAAAAGTGAACAGAGACTTGTGAAATAATGTGACGGATTAAATACCTTCTTTTGAGTAAAAATTTCCAAGTGCAATCTCCAGATGAAGCTTCTTAGGTGTCAAACCATTTCTGCGCAGGGAAAATACAGCACTCAAACAAAAGCAAGTACATAATTTCTTGCTCATAAAGGATAAACCAACATAACCTAAAGTAGGTGATCATTACCTGAAAGCCAAAAACACAAGGCACTGCGCTCTGAGCTGTTTTAACTGTTGGTCTTTAAATGGCATGCCAGTGCTTGGAGCTTGAGCAGCAGGAGACTTCCCTGTCTCTCTAAGACCCAGACTTCTGAGCGTGTTTGCATCCGGGATACTGCTAGAGACACCACCCTGTCACACAAGCTTAACAGATTAAACTAGAGCTAAATCCAGATTAGCAAAGCGAGGATGAATGAGCTGACAAATACCATTATGCTTTCACATCCTTTTCTCAACTGAAGCGTAAT